AAAACTTGAGACGACAGTCATGCTCCCCTTCAACTTCAGTAGCACTGAACAAATTCGCTTACCTGTTACACCCATTTTCTTGAAAACGTGATGAGTCAGAACTTCGTTGACTGTTTTCGCAACGTTCTGACGTTGTTGCCAGATTGGACCTCCTCCTTTCTTCAAAACAACATAATTCGATTCATAGATCCCCAACAAACTCTAGGAAGCAGATGATGATACCTCAGACTTCTCTTCGAGCAGTTCTTTTATCAACGCATTGATAGCTGCCAACTGATTGCTGGACATAGGAGGCATTCTTTCAAGCAAATCCTTCCTTTCATTTAATCGCTAAAAATATTATTTTAGATTTCTGACTGCTTCGTTAACGAGATGCGATTCTAATACGGAAGACCAAAGAAAGAAATGAGAGACTGAAGAAGCTGGAATTCCTGGCGGATTTGCGACAAATATTGTCCAAGAAGGCGTTCACGCTTTGTGTCGCATTCTGAGCGTTTCTTACTGTCTCCGAGCCTTTACGGAATATAGTATTGCCATCCAGCACTTTTGCGGCATACGCCTTCGTTCGCGCCAAACGTCAACGCGAGGTATGAACGCACTCAGACGAAGACATTGTAAGTTGGTTAGAAAGTACTTCAGCGTTTTGTTACAGCTAAAATCGATGTTACAAAATGCCATTTTGAAAATTCACCTGTTCTTCCTGAAAATGCTGATGTGTTTCAAAGTGGGTTCGTACATGTTGGATATTACTCATGTGAAAATCGCACAGAGAACACCAGTAGATGGCATCCGGGAAATTCTCGTGAACCTATAAAATAATCATGAGAAAACCTATAAAAAATTGATGAGAAAGTAATCGATTGTTGGAATCTTCAACTTCAAGCTCGAAAAAAAGAAATTCTATAGAAACCTAACAGAACTCACACCAATGCCCACATAAAACCCTCGGTTCATATCAAAATAACCTTTAGGGTTTAAAAGTTGGTAACAACTTGTCGACTTTCTCGGGTGCAGTTCCGCTTGGTGGGGGCACCACATGGTACTTCCGCGAGGCTGTCACAAGCCACTTTGTGGAGATTGTAAATTCCTCTGGCTAGATTTTTTCACTTGGATCATTTCGGCGGCTTCTCAAGGTGTTCACAGGTGTGGACCTGTGACCTGACATGAACTAATAAAAAGAACTTAAACGGAACTGCAAACATCCCAGCCAAGAAGAAACGAACTGCGAAAGTTGAAGTGCTTCCTTCTCGAAAACGCTTAACGTCAAGAACTGGCGGAGGCCGCAGGAGAGTGACCCGGTCATTAGGGTGGACAACTAAAAACATAGCCCAGATGGTACATTTTTCTTGAGTATTAAATCATTCTTCGAGATGAGGACTTGGTTTGTATGCGAAACGTAAAGACAAGAATATGTGCCACATTCATGAATAGTTAAACGCTTGAAGATGGAAATGAACTTTCGAAATAAATGTACAGATTCATTTATATTTTCACGAAGCTAACACGAACCTAATATTTGCATCAAGGGTCAATGACCTACGGCCAAATTGACACTTATCCACAAATAGAACTTACCTTATCTATGAATGTGATGTGATGACTCGATAAGTATTTTTCGGAACATTTGCTCACTGGATACCGAGCTCCGTTTCGCACTGAAAAAAATAAATCAAGTGATACAAGGCATTGAGCTGTGTCCTCAAAACGAAATTGCGGAAGTTCTTACCAGTTAAGCCAGTGAAGCGCTCAATGACTTGACTTAGGCTTCGTTCATAATACCGTACGACGTCGTCGTCGAACGTCGACGAAAGCTGCGTAAGTTGAGTAGGCTGCGTCTAGCTGGTGAAGATTATATACGTATCGATCCTATGAAAGCTGCGTAAGTTGCGTAACCGACGACTACTTCGCGAAGATTAGATACGTATCGATTCGACGACGCAACTTACGCAGCTTTCGTCGTTTTCGTCGAATCGATAGGTATCTAATCTTTGCTGAACTAGTAAGTCGTCGGGTACACAGTTTACGCTAAACTTACGCCAGCTTTGTATACGATATGTATATAAATCTTCACGAACTAAGTCGCCCGTAAGGTTACGTCGAACGTTGACGACGACGTCGCCACGGTATGAACGCAGCCTTACGGTTACCAATAGGGATCATCTTTTCCGTCTACGAGGTGTGTAGGTCGGCAGCAGTAAAAGTCTACCATTTCAGAAATGCACGAAAGCAGAGGCTTGTGATAGCTTGATGCTTCTGCTCTCGCCCGCCTAATCTGCGCTACCAGAGAATCTGCCTGGTACCTGAAAATAGCTTGCCACAGCTACGCCATGCGCCATACTGTCAAGCATACAAGCGCAGGCAAATAGCGCGTGTGATTATAGCAAGGCGTATAGCCGGCCGTATGGCGTATGACGTGGCTGTGTTGTGAGTACTGCGAATCGAATGGAGGATGGACACATAGGAGTACCAAGCTATCACAAGCCTCTTCATCCTCGCAGTTCCAAACGATGGGATCGCTACTTCCACTAATTTACCCACCTCGCTCATGGAAAGGATCTACCTGGTCAAACATATTAGTCGTTTCATTTTCATTCGAGTGGCAGGGAAGGGCGTTAAATTTGGCATGGGAATAATTTGTCATGAACGCTTTACTCCCCCCTGGCACTGTGACACTATTACTTTAAGTCTTTCGGAGGTGTCTTTCTACTCCTTCGCTTGACTAGTATATTACATGAAATTCGGTTAGAGGTAGGATACAGAAGAGGACGTGTTATCAAAAGAAAGCATTGGGGAGGGGCCGTACTTCGGAACATTGTTTCCACCGCTAAGGCGTGTCCTGTAGTTCCCACATTTTTTTCTGTAGTTTTTTTTGTGAAAAAAGCACAGGTCTGTTCTTAAAACGTACCTAGGTGATCATATCGCTCGAGATTATCAGCGCATTCCTCGACAGCTTTTCGTATCTCATTTTCCGTGCTCCCAAACGAGATCATGGCACACATGTTAGGGCACAGAACGCCCATCCATTTCACGCGAACAAATATCATGTCGAATCGTGACACATGCAGTAATCCCACCTGGAACATGAATGTACTTCAACCTTCTCGAATACTGTAGACTTACAAAAGCAGTTTTTATCCAGAGGAAGACAGGTGATGAACAGAGTATTCAGTACGCGTTTGTGAGCCTAATAACTTACCGTGTACCTCGCCATGATATTGAACGAAGTGTCGTCCATCTCGATGGGGAAGTCTGTGAACTGATAGCAAACCACCTGGTTACTCTGGGATCTCTGAAAGAATTTTTTGGGAGGAGGCACATCATGCATCTGTAGATGCAGGTAGGCTTGTTCGGTGCGAATGCTGGGGCGTGTCAGGTATGCTGGGGTCTGGCGCGGCGTCAGCCCATTTCCCACCAATTGGGACCGCTTTCCGGCTTCCACAACCGGTGGAGAACGGGTTGGCGCCACGCCAACTCAGCCCTCTTTGACATGCTCCAGCATCTGCTTCGAACAAGACTGTATACCGTGTCAATGCCAATATGTCTGCCTACCTGTTTCGAATTATTCTCAACAATAAAAAATTTTACACAACGAAATGAAAGATTTACAATTAATTGTTGGTGTCAGATGACAGGAATCAGGAACTGGAACGCAGCTCCCACGGTCAGCGATTCCCGTAAAGTCTCTCATTCCCGCGACGAGAAAGGGGGGAGGCGGAGCGATCTTGCGGCATGGTGCAGCTAGTTCGCTCATAATCCTATATCGTCTATTCATCTCGTTCGTTTTATCTCCTTACAATTAGTCTACTGCTCCAACTAAACAGAGTCCCCAAAGCATGGTACTTCCTCTTAGGAGGCGGTTTCGAACCCAGCTTCGATCATAAGCGGAGATAACGAACGCGTTTCGTCTTAGTTGCGGGAAGGAGAAACGCTGCGTCAGCACTTCCCAGGCTCAATCTAAAGAGCACATAAGCGGACTCACGTAGGCGCCGCTTTACCCTCGCCTTTGTATCCATTTTACAAAAAGGTTAAGGACCATAACGCAGACGAATAGTCGCTTAGAGATAGTCAAGCAAAGAAGGCATGGTCTCCACTAGAGCTAAGCCTCGATTAGAGAAAGGGACACGGGGGCTCTTACGCGTTTAAACTCATCCTTACAAGGGAACCCCAACAGGTCGATCCGGCCATTTGCAGTGAGATGTGTACAGGGGGGAGGGGGCAAAAAAAAGTCACTTTCCTTCCTTGACTTTCGAGGCGCTATAAGTTACACTTTATTGAAATTCTGATCGGACATTTCCACCACTATCAAAGAGCAT